TTTTTAGGCAGGAACAAGAAAAATCTGATACTTCTCTCCTGATTTGAGTACCTTATCAGCTTCATTACAAACAAAAACCAGTGATGATTAGGTATCATATTAGCCAAATCTTTTCAAAAAGATGTATAAGCATATGTGAAACATTAATTTGCATGCACTGTCCTTTAGTTTTAAGTATATATTGTCTCTTGAGATGTTAGCTAGTGATTCCATAAAGCAATAACATTAGCAAAGTATCTTAAAGACATTTAGGATCAGAAGATAATTTTCTACAGAATATATTTTTCACCAGTGTTACAAGTCATCCAATATCGAGTCCTTTACATTCCAAAGAGAAAGACTTTTTTTAAATAATAGAAAAAAGGCATATACCAGTGGGGAATATAGTGGTTACTTCTTGCTAAGGTAAAAGTGGTTAAAAACAAAACAAAAAAGTTTTGTTGACAAAACTAAAACACAGACCTATTGGTAAAACATGACAGATAAAGGAAGAAAAACAAAGCTTAAGATTTGAAAAAAAAAAAAAAGATATTTGAACACAGAAATTATGGAAGTTTTGCTGTGCAGCTGGATGGAAGCACAGAGGTTTGTAAACCTGTTTCAGCTTATGGTGTTCCCTTAATTCTGTACTAAATAACAGAAAACTATTTTTTCAGTGTACCAATCTAAAAGCAAAACAAAAAACGAAAGAACATGTATCTTTGAGAACAACTTCTGTAATAGGAGCAGTATTTTATGAAAATTGATGAAACAGATCCTCTAAGTGAAATTTTAAAAAGATTTAAAGACAAATATATAGTTCTACATGTAATAATTTTGTATGAACAAGAGTTTTAAAACAAAGTTTAATTTCATACATTTTGAAACAGAAGAATGACAAGAATCTCTTGTATCTTGCAGATGTTTGATATTTATTTAATAGCAAGCTTTTTTAAAAGTTGCATATGCACGTTTTACAAGTTTAATCTTTCTCTTCAAGGTAACTACTATGACAATAACTAAAAACATTACTTCCAAAAGAAAAAAAGGAAGAAAAACTTGTGTTAGAAAAGCATTTGAAAAACAGTTGAAAATGTTTCACAGCTTTGTAATTTTTTCTGATAACAAAAATATGTCACATATAAAAATTTCATATTTTAAAATCACAGAAATAAGCAGTTTCTAATCTGTTTAAATAACTGTCAAATATATGCTTTTGAAACCATTTTGTAACCACTTGCTGAAAATTTCTGTTATTTTTTTCCTAGTTTGATGAGGAAACTTGTACACAGTAAGGAAGACAGACATTAGTGACATTATGTTTTAAAAACCTTTGTATAACTGATGGGTGGAACAGTAAAACAAGTGTTAGAAGCAAGCCAATAGAACAGGTCTCAAGTTTTAGCTTTAAATTTTGTGAAGTTTGGCGATTACATTCCAGTATCAAAATAAATAATTGTTAGAATTAGAATTTTGAATGGCTGAATTACAATGTTGAACAAGAAATATTTAAAAAGGAAATATATCCATCCCCCTGCTTTTATTTGTGCTACTAGAAAGTAAAATTTTTAATGATTTTTATTTCATCTTTATGTTTTATATTTTAATACAGAAACAAGCATATATGTATTGGGATACATGTACAAATGTTCCTTTTTAATGAAGAGAAGCACAAACAATTTTGATTGGTGCATTCTTTAACCAATTATAATAACTGCTTATAGGTGAGTTATACAATATCCAAAATTTCTCTATTTTTCTTCAAGAAATTTACACAAGTTAAAATTCGTTTTAGTATGTGTAAAATGAGAAAAAGAAAGGGAAAAAACAACCACCAGCAAAATTACAGTTGAAACTCTAGTGCATATGCTAAATTTATTTAATTTTATGAATATACACATAAACATAAATATTGCTCTCAAATAGGTTCATTCCCCACTTAAAGTTGCTTCCTTTATGCCTTATGAAATTGTTTATAATGAAGTTTAAATAAGATTTTGGTACAGATTAAACTTTAAAAAATAACACATAAGTCTAAGTTTGGTTGTTACCAAGGACGGATCTCCATCACCAGTCTTATGCAAAATGATGACATTTATTTCATTTAGTCCATTGCTTATCATTTTCATGGCCTTTATCTAGAGTTTAAACATGTGGTTTAACTATAAAGAGAAGTTTCCAAGAAATAGTCTGACCAAATTTTGTGGTTTTGAAATCGTCCTGTGTTGGTATGGCCTATGTAATGAAGCAAATAAATTAAAGGGAAGAAGATTTAGGCAGGGCTTTAGTTTCTTTTCATCATTACAACATTGTCCAAAAGTAATAAAGTATGGTTTATAAATTAGAATTATTAATTGATAAGAACTGAACACAGTGACTGTCACGGGAGCTATTATATCTTCAAAATCAGATATCATTTGGAGGTGTGGTCTTGGACACAATCACATATAACATTTTTTATCAATGACTAATACTATCAGAAAAAACAGTCATTGACACAGCAAATGAAATTTAGAGGGAAATGAAAACCAAGAAGAGGAAGTCACATTCTCAATGACTAGATTAGAATCAAAATAAAATTGGAGAAGTACTAAGAAGTACACAAAATGAGTAAGTCTTTTGGGTGGGCTAAAAGGAGCAAGGGAAAAATACCAAATTTCGAAAGGAGGAATGACTAGTTATGTATTGGCAAATATTACAGAAAAGAACAAGGACTTTAACAACTAAGGAGCTGACTAGGATCAAGAATATACTGCAGTCCTTTAAAAAGCAAACAGTATTGTAGAACGGAATACTTACTATAACTTATCTGAATTTTTGATTCCTATTTGAGTATTGTTTCTTCAAACTTTTAAGAGCTTGTTCTTTTTACAGAAATGCCATTCAAGAGCAAATGTAAGAGCAAATGTGAAGAATCTAGCCACTCATAAGACTGAAATACTAAGAGGCAAAACTAGTTTCATTGTAATACTGAAAAAAGGTTTTTTTTTTTCCTCCTGGAAGAAATGAAGTAATTGAATAATGGTCTTTAAATAAGGACATACAGTTAACAAGATAAAAGAGTAATTGAAGTCAACCTCAGTAGCTCATGTAAAAATGGCTCAGTTGTACTCAACTTTCATAAAAGACTGAAAGAGAAAATGAAGTTAGATTGTGTTAGGAAGTAGCTAATGTTAAAAACAGGAGGTTTTAAAAAGAATTGGATGAAAATTACAACTGTAACAATCTGGTAGAATTTTTAATCTCCTGATTTCTACTTTTCTGCAATGGTGGACTGTGGTAAGATACAGGAAGAGATCAAACAAAGTTTTAAATTTCATGGTCAGACCCCAACTTTTGTGGGTTTTTTTTTTTTTGGTCTTAGGCAAGAACTAAAATAAATAATTTGCTCAAGACTTGAATGCTATCAATGAGGAATTAAGTTCGTAGTTTGTTCTTAAAATCACTACTGATGTCAGGACACAGCTCTTTTAAAAAAAATGTAACTCGTATATCCTTAAATCTATGTGCAGTATTAGTAGCAGATATCTGAAAGCAGACCTGGTAAGAAAAAAGAGCCTGTAATATACAGACAATGGGTAGAACTTTAAGGAAATAGTGTTTCTCTTTTATTTGCCTCATTATGCTATTTTTCTTTTTAAAAAGTTTGACTTAAATATTTTACAATGGACATACATTAACTACGGGATATTTAAAAGGCAGAGACAAGAAAAAAATGAATGTACAATTTCATAGCTGAGGGGAAAAAAAAATCAGTAACATTTTGCTCTGTATTTTGAGACTTTTTTGCTTCATATGTCCATACAAAATATCGTATAATGTAAACTGAAGTTTCGTATGTGTATCAAATGCTTACACAAACAAGCAATGTGTTAGTATCAGGAACTATACTATACTAGATTTACAGGGTCATTTTAAATGGCTGTCATCATTTGCATAACCCTTACCTTTGGTCATTTAAATATTTCCAATTGTTCATTATTGGTAACTTCAATAAGTATCTATAATATTGTTTTGTTTTTTCCTGAAGCACATGAAGAAAAGCATTAGAGCAGAGACAATACAAGACTTTTTACTCAACCAACAGATATCTGCTGATCATTTATTTGGGCTAGACATTACATTAACTGGGAAAAAGAGAAGTGGTTAAGGCAAAAATCTACACTTTCGATAACTTTCAGTCTTCTGGAAGAGAAGCTGAGAAACTGGGGACAAAATGCTCACCCTCTCTTTTAAAGTAAATCTAAATTGCCTAGTTAGGGGTCGGCTATACTGAATACACGTTAACAGGTTCTAGAATTAAAATCCCCAGTTAAAAATTTTTACGCTCGTGTTTTAAAAATATCTACCCACGACTGTTTCAACCACCGCTGTAAGCGCCACAGCCAGCCGGGACCAGGCGCGCGGGCTCCGGGCGGAGGAGCCTCTCGGGGAGCAGTCGGCGTCTTCGCCCGGTTCTCGGTTCTCCCGCCTGGCAGTCAGAAACAAAACCTGCACCCAACCACTTCCATTTTGCACAAGTCTCCAGGCTGAGTGTGGCTTTGAAGATCAAGTGCAAGGCTGCTTAGCGCAATGGCCAGAGTGTGGGCGGAAAACAAACTTTGTTACGTGTTCACTTGGTCGGCGCAAAGCGATTCTGGGAAGGGACTTCAGGCGGACTAAAACTGTGCTCAGGGTTTTTAAAAAGCCATTTGAAACGATGAGTAAGGAAGCAGGGCCAGGTCTCCCACGGTTTAAGCACAAACCCCAGAAGGTGGCTGGCCGGGGTCAGCAGGTGGCCGGCCGCGTCCCGGCCTCCTCAGCCCCTACTGCGTGTGCGCTGAGGGACGGCGGCGGCCGAGGGGACGCGTCCTCCACGCACGCGCTCGCATCCACGGGCTTCCCCGCGTGGGACACGGCCTTCCCGGCGGCAGGCGCTCCCCTGGCCGGGCCTGGGGCTGAGCCCCAGCGCACCAGGGAGGCGGACGCCGTGCCGCACCGCGCGGCGCCGACGACTCCAGGACGGCTCAGCGATCACTGCGCGCCCCGGGTCTCCGAGGGGCGGGAGAGATGTCGCGGGGGGCGGGCGCGGCGCGCGGGGAGGGGAAGGGGTTCTCGCGCGATTGGGCGAGGTTTCCGGTGTTGTGACTGAAACCCGTCAATATGGCGGCGATCGGCCGCGGCCGCTCTCTGAAGAATCTCCGAATACGAGGTAAGCCCGCCGCAACCTTCACTGCTTACCCGCTGCCCGGGCCCGCCACCCCTGGCACTTGCCTTCTCCTGGCTCTGGGTGGGGGAAGTGAGCTGGGACGCTGGCCGGAGCCGTGGCAGTCGCTGTTGGCCTGAGAGCGAATCCTAATTGGGGCTGTGTGTCTGTTTCGCGCAGGGCGGAATGACAGCGGCGAGGAGAACGTCCCGCTGGATCTGACCCGAGGTAACGCGGGGCGCCGCGGGCGCCGGCGAGGGCGCGCTGCTGGGGTGGATCGCGGGCCCGGCCGGGGGCCGCAGGCAGGGGCGGGCCGCGCGGGGGAGCGGCGGGGGCGCCGGGGGCAGAACCGAGCCCCGCCTGCCGGCCCGCGGAGCTCAGTCCCGGCCGCCGCGCCGGACCCATCCCCTTCCCGAGACCTGCTTCCCCAGCGGGAGCCCGCGCCCGCTCTCGGGTTGCTGCGGGCGTGGGGGCAGCGAGCTGAACTTGCGGAACCTGCGATCCCGTGGGTTCCCTGGAGCGCCCGGGAAGCCTCACCTTTCCCGAAGTTCGTGCACCCGAATCCTGGGAATGGCCAGAGGGAGGTAGAGGTTGTTATTTAGGTCGCTGGAGGATGTTTGAGGGAAGAGCGACCACATCCTGCCCTCCCCATCCCCCGGAGCAGATTCCGGACCTGTTTGTGTCTTGTTGACTGCGTGACTGCTGCTTTCTTTGCCCACCGTTCTGAAGAGTCTTGCAGCGTGGATAACTCCGTGGCGAGACCCGGAGCCAGTTGTTTTGCTTAGTGTCTGGGTTAGGCTCCCCGCCTGCTCCCCTTTTCCGAGTCTGTAGTTGGCCAAAGACCGCCCCTTCACCCTGCTGCAGGTTCATTGTTTACCTTCTGCAGCAGAGATGGGTTTGTTTACACCTTCAGAACTGGGTAAACCCGGTTATATTTTTAAGAATTGAATCCTGCTGCTTAATCCATATTTCTCCTGTCACCCTCCTGGAAATTATTCAACAATATCTAACAGAAGAATTAGTACTGTAGTTGTGTTCGAGATTCTTTTCTTTTTCACGATAAACAAGATTTGATCTGATTTCGATGGTCATACTGTATCGCTAAATCGATTGTAGCTTGGGAAGTAACCCGGTTCAGCGGTACAGTTTCTTTTTGAGATCTGTGAAACATTTAAGGAAGTTTTTTTTTAAGTCGTAAACATTCTGCTTTTGAGATCAGTATATTTTATACCCCATGTTGTATTCAATGTGATGGTTTATATAGAATATTTGTTGGATGTGCGTTTGTTGTTGAGGCTTATTTGTTGAAAAGGTAGTACATTCTCTTGTATTGTGTACTGTAATATAAAATTAGTAGTGTATAAACGGCCAGTTTTAATTTAACTGCAGGAATTCATTTTTGTAATTCAGTATTCTAAAAGTTGCGCGACTTGATTTTGGGTGAACCAGGTCTTTGTAAAAGCCGGAGAATTTGTAAAATGCGTGAGCATTGAAATAGCAACTATTTAGATCACTAGTGCACTTATTTGGAACTTTTCAGCAGTTGATTTTTGAGCATTAGTATATAAAGAGGTAAAATTTTCAACTTTCATGCAGCAGGTTGGGAACATAAAGCACATATATAAAGTCGTCTTAAAATCTGTTTTCTAGTAAAACTGCCTAAAAAACAATTACTTCTCTGACAGATGCAGTTTATTGTTAATTTAATTTATATGCAGGCATATGTGTTTTAGGTAGAGGTGAAAAGAGTAATTATTACGTAAATTGGAGGCAAGTTTACATTAGAAACCTGGTTGGATGTGGTGTTGAAATAAATTGTAGTTGTACTTTATTGAGTTTAAACTTTATTCATTTTACTCAGGAACAGATGATTCTTCTATATTTACTGTGTAAAACGTTGCATTCCCTGGGAATTTGTTAAATACCTTTTCCCCAGGATTCAAAGTGCAGAAAATGTTCTTTCTACATGCTTTGACAAAATGTAGTACTTCATTTTAGAATAAAATACACAGCCATTTGAAACAGTGCAAAAGCAATGCACAATTAACAATGAGAAGTTAACTTGAGAATTCCTAAATTTAAAGATGTTTAGAATAAAATTAATCAGTGGTGGTGTTCATATAGGGACACGATTGTTTATAGAAGCTGTTAGTCTGACACACGTTTCATTGTTAAAAGGAGGCTTGTGAATCTAATATGTTCCTGAGAAATTAAATGTTAGTAATACTTCCTTCTAGAATGGTGAGGCACTCTGGATTCCATCTGAAAGGTGCTGTTTTCGGATTTGGATTACAATATGTAAAAAGATAAAAGTTTGGGCAACCAAAATACTTAATACTAAAACAATGTTTATTTTCATTTTAATTGTTCTGTAATTTTTTGAAGAAATTCAATGTGTATTCAACAAAACTGTTTAGAAGTAGAGGTTGTAATCATTATATTCCCTGATGGAACCATCAGTGTATATTGTGAGAGAGAGGCTGATTGTAAAGTCAGTTTTGGGTTGTAATCTCAGCTGTGAGGTTTAATAATAGTTGGATGCTGTAGGCAAGTTAGTTGACCTTCCTTAACCCATGGGTTCTTCAGCGCCAAAAGAAAAGATAGTTTCAAAGAGCTAGTAAGAATATGAGAGGTAAAAAGAGATGCTTCTAAATAAATATTCAGCATGGGACTCAATGGTTTTGAATTAGTTGCTTTCCTACATTGTGAAATCAGAAAATTCTTTAAATATATTAAACATACCTCAGATGTTTAAAATACAAATTTTTAAAAGGAATTTCAGTGTCTTTGAGGCACTATTATTTTAGTCAGGTATATCTAAAATAGAACTTTCAGCTGGGTGCATGGCCCCACATGCTTACTGTTCTGGCATTCTGCGAGGCTGAGGCAAAAAGCCCAGTTTGGGTATTTTAGGAAGACCCTGACTCAGTTAGAAAGTAAAAGCTGGGGATGTTGCTCAGTGCTAAGACCCTGAGTTCAATCCTCAGTACTCCAGAAAAAAGTAAGGAAAGAAGGAAAGGAAGGAAGAATTGTTGTGGAATCTGGTGTGGAGTCTGGTGATGTCAGCCTGTAATTTCAGCTGCTCAGGAGGCTGAAACAGAGCAATCTCAAGTGTGAAGCCAATCTGGGCAATTTAGTGAGATCTTGTCTCAAAGTTTAAAGGGGGTGGGGGCAGAGATTGGCTAGCACAGCGGCGAAGCATTTGCCTAGCATGTGTAAAACCTTGAGTTCAGTCCCAGTACTGAAAAAAAAATGAAGAAAGGAAGAAATTATTGATGGATTAATTTTGACCTAGTTTAGAAACTCATTCTAATAGATTTTACAGTGATCTTTTTGGTAATTGTTGCTTTCAGTTTGTTCAGACACCCCCCCCCCTTAATCTGTGAAAGTCCCTAGTATTTGCTATTGATATAATTATGTATTATCTCTGTATTTCATGTCAAAATGTACAGTATTTTGAAACCCAGAACCTTAGCCACTTCTATAGCAAGATCTTTAGGCTTTTTTTTTTTTTTAATCAATTCATTCGTACATCTCTTCTGGGTGCTGAACCTAACTTGAAAATACAGTGTTCTTGAGTAAATCACTCCTGTGATAGTCTTCAAACTGAATGCCAAGAACATGGACATAATTATGTCAAAATGTAATTATTGGAGTATAACTTACAGTGGCACAGTGCTTGCGTGGCCTGTATGAGGTCCTGGGTTTGATTGCTGGTACCACCCCTCCCTCCAAAAAAAAAAAGTCTGTCCAATGGAGTGTAACTTATTAAAAGTTCTATTTAATTTTATAATTTTTGATTGTTTTACACATTTACTTTTCCATTAATAAGAATAAAAGTGTTGATTGTCTTTGTTACTGTTTAATACACTGAAGAGTAGGAAGGTAATCTGAAATGATACAGAGATTTGAATAAGTTTTTCCTGATTGTTTCTAGTTGAGAAGTTATTTAATTGTTCACTTTAATTTGATAAAAACAAACATTGACTGAATGTTTGTTATATGCCAAATGCTGAATTAAATCTAGGGGAATAAAATGGAGGTGTTACCCCTTCTAGAATTTACTGGGACAGACATAAAGAAATGATGTGGTATGTAACAATAAATAAAGTAATCAAGGTACACAAGGAACAGAAGTAGCCCAATGGTGGCCATAGGAGAGAACGATTAACTGGTAGGTAGAGAATCAGAAATGACTCTCAGAGTGGTCGATTAATAAAAACAGTGATGCACAAACTGTGTGTGGGATCTTTAGGAAATACACCCCATCTTCAGAAAGGGAAAGTCAATAGGTGAGTAGCCTAAACAGATACTAATGTAATCTGAAGATGATGGATGAATGAATGAACTTTTGTAATTACTACAAAAATTAAGTTAAATTCTTTGCATTTCAAACTGTAATCCTTCCCTTCTGTGAAGAATACTTTTATTTCTTCCCTTCCTCTCTCCATTTTGTTGGTTTGTTTTTGTGGTACTGAAGATCTAATGCAGGGGTAGGCACCTTAGCACTGAGTTACAATCCAAGCCCTTTTCAAATTGTTTTTACTTTTACATTTTATTATTATTACATTTTATTATTGTTATCGTTACCATTTCACTATTTTTGCAGTACTGGGAGTTGAACCCAGGACTGTCTCACTGAATTATATTCCTATCTTTTTATTTTTTATTTTGATGCAGGGTCTTGCTAAGTAGTTTAGTTGCTCCAGCTGAGATCAGACTTGTAGTTTTCCTGCCTCAGCCTTCCAGAGTGCTTGTTTTATAGACATGTGCCATCATGTTGGCTCCCCCACTTTTATCTTTTGAGGCATAAACTCACTAAGCTTCCCAGGCTGGCTTTGAATTTGTGATCCTCCTGTCTTAGCGTCCAGAGTAGATGGCATTACTGATATGTGCCACTATGGTGGACTACGTTTTACTTATTAACAAGGTAGAATCTGCCTTTCCTGTCAGGGATATAGCTTAGTGGCATAAGTACCTATCTAGCAGGTATAAGGTCCTGAGTTTGATTCCTGGTACCAAAAAAAAAAAAAAAAAAAAAAAAAAGGAAAGAAAAGAAAGAAAAAGCCAAAGTATTAGGATTTGTCTAATATGAATTCCCTCATCTCCCACCCTTAAGTTTCCTGCATCAGATATTAAAGTATCTCTAGTTCTTTTCTGTTTCCTCTAGATTCTTTAGGAACCTAAAACTTTCTTTTACTTCCTTCCTTCATGTTGATAGAGTTTTG